TGTTGTGGGCAAAGGCAGCATGGATCAACCATAGAAAACAAATGCACCCCTCGGGGCCTCTTGATGTGGGACATGAGTAGGAAGTTTGTAGATTTGTGCAAATGTGATTTTCCCTATTGCTGACTAACAGGTTATGGGACAGTGAAGAGATAGGAAGGCAAATGATATTTGTTGTCCTTTTACTCTTGGCTTGGCATTCTCTCTCTACATAATTCTTAGGAAACAATTCTGGTTTTAAGCTTGTGTAGGAACCTTTGTTTTGTTATGGTTTGCTGACATGGAGGCATGGTCCTCAGTATGGTGAAGTCTTTAAGAGGCAGCACCTAGTGGAAGGCAGTTAGGTGATTGGAGGGTTGCTCCAGATGGGATTAATGCTGTATCTCAGTAAATGATGTTAAAAAGCAAGCTGTTTTAGAATAGTGAGCCTGGCCCTGAATTACTCTCTGGCTTCCAGTCTCACCGGATGATCTATCTTTCATGTGCACTCCTGCCATGATGGAATCTACTACATGAGGCTGCCAATGGCAACTAGGAAGAGAGTAAACTGATACTGCTGCTCTCTTTTGTGCTTTCCGTCTCTACAGCTGCAAGCTAAATAAACGTACAGAACAAATAAGACATATTTTCCACTTCTAAGGAGCCTTCAGTATAGCGAGGTTTCTCAGTAGGAGGTTCTGTAGATATCAGTAGGGTTCTGAGAGACACAGAGTTCCGTATAGGATTGGAAATTAAAACAAGATTTAGATTTCCCTGTATATAAGTCTGAAGACCTATCAGCTTCAAAAAATGTATTTTTTTGTGGAAGCTAACTTATTAATAAATTTTTGGCATAAAATATATTGTTGTTTATTATAAACATAAACTGAAAATTGCTGAAGGTTTTCCATCCTATTTTATTGAAACCTTATGCCCACTGATTTACAAGTCCCCATGTCTCCCCCAATAGCCTCTGCAACCGCTGTCCCAGTCTTATACTAGATTGGCTATTTTAGATGCCTTGCATAAATGGAATCATGCAGTATTGTTATGATAAATCTTTCCGCCAAAAGCCACCCGAGCCCTACTGCCGCCATGTGGGTGCTTTCGGCCAGCCACCTGAGTTCTGCCCGCCGAGTTAGGGCCCCAAATAATACACAGAGACTTATATTAGGTACAAATGCTGCTTGGCCAATGACTAGGATTTCTCATCTGTTAGATCAGTCTTAATTATCATAAATCTATATATTTTATAAGACTTACCTTATTTAGGATGCCTTCCATTGGTGTCCTCATCCCCGGATCACATGGTGACTCTGGAGGAAGAGAGAAGGGGCCCCCTTCCTTCTTGCCCTTGCTTATATATGAGTCTCCCTGCCATGTCACTTCCTGCAGATAACCACTTCTTTACTACAGTTCCCAGAGGCCTCCTTGACTCCTAGTCTCGCCTAACTTGCTGCCTCATTGGCCAAACAGTACTTTATTTATCATCCAATAAGACAAACACATACACAGTATTTATCCTTTTGTGGTTGGTTTATTTCACTTGATAACGAAGTCAAAAGGGCAACCTAGAGATTGGGAGAAATACTGAAAATCCACTTATCCAATAAGGTTAATTTCTAAGGTATAGAAGATCTCTATAATTCAAGATAAATAAACAGATATACAAGTTGGGAGGTGGCAGTACACACCTTTACTCCAAGTACTTATGAGGCAGAGACAGCCAATCTCTTGTGATTTCGAGGCCACCCTGGTCTATATAGCTAGTTCCGAGATAGCGAAGCCAGTTACAAAGTGAAACCCTGTCTTGAAAAAACAAAACAAAAATAGATACGCAAATCCCAATGACATAATTAAAAAGGGACCTAAAGTTTAAATAAATATTTCTATAAAGAAGATATACAGATGACCAACATGGATGGAAAAGGTTGAAAGTCACTGTTTACCAGTGAAAGGCAAACTAACATGTCACCTCATGCCTGTCAGAGCAGTTACTATGAGGATAAGTGAAAGAAGGCCAAGAGCTGGCAATGGGGGTGAATATAACCAGAATACATTATACACATGCATGAATGTGTCATATTGAGATCCATTATGTACAATTACATATGCTAACAAATAAAAAATGAAAAACAACAACAATTTTTGTGGTCTAGTAGTGAGGCTTGGACCCTTGCACACCACTGATAGGAATGTGAAATATTGTGTGCAGCCTCTATCCAGGAGAATTCAAATCAATATCTGAAGGGATAGCCACACTCCCATGTACATTACAGCAGGATTAATGCTGTGGAGTTATGGAAATACCTAGATGCCCGTGATGTGTAGATGAACTCTGTATTCATACATAAGGTGATTCCACTTTGCAAGTGGAGAGAGTTTAGTATATTCCTAATTAAGTTGCCTAACTTGCCAGGCATTGGTGGAGCACACCTTTAATCCCAGCAGAGGCAGGCAGCCTGGTCTCCAGAACAAGTGCCAGGATAGGATCCAAAGCCACAGAGAAACCCTGTCTCAAAAAACCAAAAAAAAAAAAAAAAAAAAAAATGCCTAACTTGTCAAAGCTATTTGAATAAGCCCAAGACCACAGACTCCTGGGGGGGGGAGATAGAAAATTTCATTCACTGGTGTGTATGTGCTAGCTAGTGTGTGTGACAGCTTATGGCATCTGGGATTTTTAAAATTTTCATTAAAGTAGGTTTGTTTATATAAACTATTGTATGGAGTTTTATGGGATACAATATAGGTAAGAAAACTTGAGTGTGAATATGGTCAATGTAAAATTAAGTTTATCAGTAAAGGTATCATTCATCTGAACTGGACTTTATTCCATTGATCATAGAAAAACTGTAAGAATGTCAAGGTGTGGAAGTATCCTAGCCTTGGTCACCTAAGCCCTTCTTTCAGCACACCTCTTGGGCAATGAGGTTCTTCATCTGTTTTTGTTTTTGTTGTTTTATTTTGCTGAGGAAGCTTGGCAAGATAGAGTCTATGCCCACAACAGTTAAAATAGAAGACATGGAGGGCCCTTGAGTGTTCTTTGTTCCAGGTCAGGCTGTCTAGGGGACACCTACTCTGGCAGCCACCCACTCTAGGAAGGTCAATAACACTTCTTTATCTGACTGAAACCTACCCTTACACAGAAGTGCCTAGAGTCCTTAGGGCCAAACACAAGGAGACTCTCAAGTGAAAACACACAGTGAAATGCTTTGGTACATTCCTGAAGTTTATCCCTGGTGTATTTAAGCAACTGCGGTCAGAATTGAGAGGTATGAAAAATGCTGTAGAGTCTTGGGTCACCTTGATAACGCACTCAAAGTGAGAGCATCTGAGGTGTTTAAGGGAGGGAGGCTTTCCTCGATGTCTCTTACTATGTAAGGACTCCACCTGCTTATCACCATCTCATGCCACATTTTATCCCCCTCTTCACTTGCCTCCAAATTAGGAAAAGACTTCATTTTTAATATTCTAAAGTATGAAATTTCAAAAGACTTTAATGTATGGGTGTGGATGGTTAAATCTCAAACACTAGTGTTGCGGAATATTTGTACACTGTGTGAAGATGCATTGCTGTAATTGATTAATATAAAGATGAACGTCCAATAGCTAGGTAGGAGGGAATAGGTGGGATTTTCTGGGACAGAGAGGAAGAGGATGAGGAATGTAGGCATGCAATTTAACCAGCAGACTTGGAGCAAGTTGGATGTGCTGTACTAAGGAGAAGCAACTGAGCCACATGGCAGAACATAGATTTAAAAAACATGTATCAGTTGCTGGGCAGTAGTCACACACACCTTTAACCCCCCAACATGGGAGGTAGAGGCAGGTGGATCTCTTCAGAAAGTTCCAGGACAGGCTCCAAAGCAACAGAGAAACCCTGTCTTGAAAAACCAATATAACAGCCAGTTGGGGAAAAGCCTAAGCTAAGGCCAACCTTTCATAATTAATAAGTTTCCAGGTCATTATTTGCAGGCTGGTGGTCCAAAGATAGTCTGACAAGAAAGCTTGTTACATCCCAGCAGCAGAGGCATTGCTATGGAAACTCTAGCTGTCTAGAGTTTAGGAGAGGAAAGAAACTGAGAGATATGGGGAACGCATCTGGTTTAAAGTGGTGCAGATATTTTGGAAAAAAGAAGTGATGTTGTGCAACATTAAAATTACATTATGAATGTCATCAATGCTACCGAATTCTTTACTTTGGACAAGTCATTAGGCAAATTCAATGCTGTGATGTACTAGCACATTTTATCATAACCATAATAAAATATAACAAGAAAAGAAAACAAAGGACAGTCAAGATAAATAATGCCACACAGGTTTCATGACACATATACCATACTTGACACCCAAAAGGAGCAAGGGAAATCATTAACAGAAGAAAGTTTCTTAAAATTTTAAAATAATGTCACATTTTCTTTGGGATGATGCTTAGTTTTCTTAAGAAATATGTAAGAACTCCAAAATCAAAGGTCACAAAGCATTCCTCAGAGCAACTTTGTTCTGTTTCCAGCACGTCTTCTGGAAACACAGTAATGAAATCATCTTGACTACAACAGTGTTCTGGGAGAGATTTCCTGATTTCTCATTCCAAGACAAAGAAAGACTAAAGATCACAAACCAAGAAGATTTTCTCCAAAACAAACTGTACTATTTGAATGAACCTCCTCTCAGTTTCATGAACAAGTGTGGTGGAGTTATTTTTAACTGGGGACAGAACATTCATTCTGGAAAGTTTTCAGAACTTTAAGCTTGTTGAGAGAAGAAATCCTTCTTGCTGATGAAAAAGACCATTGCAACCTCAGTGCCCCACCCACCCTCAGGAGAAGAATCCTTCACAGGCCATGCATTACATTTTTCAGGGCTCAAAATCACCTAGATTGAGAGAAGTGTGGACTTTGGATCCCTTTCAATCACTGCTAGAAGAGAAAGGTACCTGACATCATCTAGATACACATACACTGTATTTTTGCTCATGCACATGTATTCATAAATAACGAGCCTGGATGATACCAACTGGATTCTATTGTTTTTTTATTGATTATTATTTTCATTAAACAGTGTTAGACAAGTTAGGATGATTAAAAAAACAACTAATATTTTTGGACCATGTGCATCCTTGTAACTTGCAGAAATGATCTGATCTTTTATCACAGAAGTCAATTCATAAGTTGCACAAATACTAAGCAATGTATATTCCAACCACAATGGTCACTTCTGTGTTAGTCATTCAGTATGACACTTGACTACTACATGGCTGCAGATGTTTACAGAGTTTAGTAAAAAAGCCAAAGCAAATAGGAAAAGTATCTTCTTTCTAATGGGTAGTGCTAGTGAGGCTCTCAGAGGTGGGTGTCGGCAATGGGTATCCTCCTGAGTTCTACAATCTGGGAGTCACTCAAGGTACCTCCCTCCTGGCTGCCTTGACCAGATTCGTTGTCACTGACACTGAGACCAGCACCTGGAATGGAAGAAGAATGAACACACAAGTCTAAGCTATTGGTGGTTAATTCTTAACGATCAAGTCATATTAAATCAAAACATCTTATTTCTAGATTAGTAAAAGTCCAGGCTGTTTATTTGGAATAAATAACAAATGCCTTGAAATTATGGAATTATACTTTGAATTGAAGTTACTTTTGTTGCTTTTTTAAAAAGTGGAAATTGATTTCTAAAGACATAGTGTTGTGCTTCTCATGTTTTCATTTTGTTTTGAGACAGCTTCTCACTACATAGCCCAGGCTGGCCTTGTATTCACAGCAATCCTCCTGCCTCAGCCTGAGTGCTGAGATTACAGGCATGAGTCACCACACTTGGCTTCCTCTATTTTTCTTGTTGCCATGTGATAGCCAGGTACAATTTATAATAGAGAACAGGGTTTTTCAATGAAGGGTTTACCAGTGTAGAAAATCAGACAAGTTACTTGCCTTTTTCATCAATGGGATAGAAAACATAACCACCAACCCTGGAACTCCACTGAGTCTGGTAGCCCCATGCTACCAGATGCTCAATGTTGGCTCTGAGTCTGAGAAGAAAGACAGGCTTGTATCGACACCATATGCTGTCCATCCTATCAGTGCCCCAGGAAACTGGCCCTGAAGAGTAAGCCTAAGACAAGGACATGTAAATAACACAGTGCTAGACATTCTCATTGGAAACCCAGGAAGCCACTGTTCTGAACAGCATGCAACACCTCAAATTTCTGTTTTGAAGATTTTCTCCTAGACACTACTTTCTCCTCCACGGTGCACAATAATTTAAAACTCTCCTAGGTTCTTTCCTTCTGTAATGTGGGCCTATATTTACTCTTGTGTTCTGCCTCTACACACACACAGGCATGCACACATGCACATGGTGAGTGAGACAGAGAAGACAGATGTGGTGACAGAGTGCGCTGCCACCAATGGCCAGGTAACAGCTCTCAGTGCTTCCCCCTCTGCTGGCCACTCAGCTTTGCAGAAAGAAAGTCAAGTTAAGAAGCAAGTCTCTGCCAATTCTTCTGCTGGTAGCTATGGGAAGGAGGTCACTGAGCTTCAGAATAGCCTCTGTGGAGAAAGGATGAGGAGCCCACAACCACTTCTTCTAGCCAAGCCCCACCTTTCCTGATCTTGTCCTTCACACCCTCTGCCTTATTCCTTCCTATGTTTCTGTGTCACATAAAGTGCCCACCCCTTGCTCAGGTCCCCTGGCTCTTTCCAGACTTTTTCTGTTTTCTCTCCTGTCTGTTTCTCCCACTACCTAGGTACTGGTGACCTCTACAGATGTATGTAAAAGCCTGCAGGGTCTGCATGACCCCACTTGCTCTCAGTGTCCTTCCCTTCCATACCACCTCTGCAGGGACACACTTCACACTCACAACCTTCTTTATTGGGCTGCCTATGCTCTTCTGTGGACATCACTTCATTGCCCTCAATGCAATGAAGCACCATGATTCTCTGTCAAAATGTCTGCCTTTCCTATTGAATTACATCCTTCCCATGACTCTGGCTCATACTCCTATAAAATGCTAAGTGCATTATGGGTGTTTGTATCTTGTGGGGGAGCATGTATTCAGAAACTAGGCTCTGAGCCCACCTCCATCACTTGGTAACTGGGCAGGCCTCTTGGACTTGATCCAATAGTCCTCCCTGTCATGCTTTCTGGAGATTTCTCAAAAGATGGAACACAAATAGGTGAGAAACACTTAATAATAATAACTATCCTTATTTTTCAGGGAAATGAAAGTAAAACTCCTTTGAGATTTCATCTTATCCCAGTCAGAATGGTCAAAATCAATAAAACAAATGACAGCCATGCTGGTGAGGATGGAGGGAAAGGGGATCATTTATTCATCTCTGGTGGGAGTGAAAGTTGGTACAGTCATTATGGAAATCAGTGTGGTGATTTCTCAGGAAGCTGAAAATAGATCTACTTCAAGATCCAACTGTACAACTATACACCCAGCAGACTCTACATCTGACCACACAGTTACTTGCTTAAACCATGTTCATTGCTGCTCTATTTATAATAACCAGAAATTGGAAACAGCCTAGATGTCCATTAACTGATGGCTGATGAAAATGCAGTGCATTTATGCAACAGAATATTATCCAGCTGTTAAGAAAAATCAGTTATGAAATCTGAATGTAAATGGATGGACCTAGAACCAATCATTAGGAGTGAGGTAACCCCACACCCAAAATGACAAACATTGTATGTTTTCTCTTATATGTGGATGTCAGCTTTTAAGCTTTTGATATGTGTGTTCCAGTCAGAATGACCACAGAGGTTAGGTAGTTAGAGACCAGGGGGGAGGAGAGGATCTTCTAAGGAAGGGGAAGTATAGTATAGTATTATAAAGAGATAAAGGGGAAACTAAAATAGGATTATTTGAGAGGGAGATGGGAAGGCATGGTAAATGAGGGAATGTGGGGAAGAACAAGTAACACTAAAGACCTTGTAAAAAGCCATATGGAAAGCCTGTGTGTGTGTGTGTATATATATATGTGTGTGTGTGCATGTGTGTGCATACACACTGTATGTGTGTTACTATAACAGTGGCACAAGGGTTACATATGTATGTTACATACATTACATATATAAATACATGTAAACACTTGTGCCTCTATTACATTAGTACACATATGTTGCATAATGTTACGGATGTACCAATCTTTTTTCTTTTAAAATTAGATTTAAGGCCCACTCCATGAGATGGAACCCATACCTAACACTATGAAAGTGGCCAAGAACCTGATACTAGATAGGCTATGGAGGCTCAGGGAAAACTTACTACTATTATTCTGCTAAAGGAACATAGCAGTAAAATGACTTCAAATCACATATTGCTTATTCTCATAGATAAGTGCATCTCTCAACCCTTTTTAAAGGAAATTCTTCCTGCAGCAGATGGGAAATAACATAGAGACCTACAAATGGACAATGTACAAAGCATGAGAGACTTTGGAACACTAAGCCCTAAGTAGGTTTTCTTTATCAAACTCTTCCCTTAAAAGGTCAGAAACCTATGTGAATAAGAAGGCAAAAAGATTGCAAGAGCCAGAGATGGTAGATGATGCTATTGTATTACAAATCTGACAGAGACCTCGTGGTGGAACCACCTCTGGAAACCATCAAGGACACATCCTGCAGTGTGCTTCACTAAACTAGACATTCTTAATCCAGTCAAATTGGCAATCAGAATTGGGTATCACAAATAGTCTAAGATGTAGTTTGTCTTGTGATTTCCTGAAAAGCATCTTAGTCCTAATACTTTAAGCCAAGATTTGGGGAAAAAGTCAGTGACTGTGGAAGCAGCAGCTTTCTCGTATGGAGAATGGGCAACCACAGAAGAACCACAAGCAACAATTTTCATTAACCTTACACTTCCCCTTTCTCAGAAACTTACTGCTTGGGTTAGGAAGAGGGTGGTGATTATTCTGTTACACCGATGCAAACATGGGATGAAAACCTGACTTGTATCGAGGGACCAACCATATCACACCATAGGACAGTCACAGAATGGAGATACCAATCAGTCTCCTGACTCTGTCACTTGTGCTGCAAGATCTAACCATGATTCTTTCTTTGTCTCAAGGTGTCAAACTTGGTCTTAAAGTGATCAACACTGTCTACAAAATGAATATCAAACTAGGCACAGATTTAAACCACCCTATTTATTATGCCACATCATAGTCACGGTGCAGTTTAAAACTAAGTGTCAGCAGAATATATTATGAACATATAAAATAAAATTTATTGTGTATATACACTCCTGTGTGGGTGTGTGCACACACAAATGTGTGCATGTGGTAGCCAGAGGTCAATATTGTGTGTCTTTCCTTACAGCTCTCTACCTCACATAGTTTCGAATTGGACTGAAGCTCACTGATTTGGCTTCACTGGTTGGCCAGCAAATCCCAGCATCCTCTTGTCTTGACTCTCTGTACTGGAATTGAGTTTATGTTCCTGTTGTGCTTAGCTTTTCATGTGGGACTGAGGACAGCAGACTGGATGAAAGAAAAGGAAGGTATACAGAAAGGAGAGGAACACAAGAGGAATGGAATACATATGCCATGAAAGTAGATGAGAAGGGGAGGAACCCTTTGTGAGGGAAGAGGTTCAGCCAGAGGGAAGCAGTAAGGGGCAGATAAGAACAAAACATAATGACACATGTGTATGAAAATATAATAAACCCATTTCTTTGCAATCTAACACCTCAATTATGTTAAAGTCCATGTTATTAGACTTTTTTCTAGATTTAGGTATGCTATCTCTATAATTTTTAAAATTTAAATTATAAACAAGTTTGTTTTACATGTCAACATTTTAAATATTGTCTCAAAAACTGTTAAAATGCAGTGTGAGTCAAACAAAACACCTTGTTAGGCCAAATCCAGGAAAGAGGTCAATGTTGAATTCTACTGTAGATAGATAGCATGTGGTTGGCTCTTTTATTTTACCATATCCTATGATGGTATGTGTCCAGGGGCTGATGCTTGGTTATTGTAGCATCTTTTCTAATAATACAGAGAACCAATGTTAGAGAGTGCTATTTTGATCTCTTAAAATATTTTTTCCCAACGAGTTTAGGAACTCTAAGGAATGCTAAGCTAAATCTCTAAGCAAGTCATTCCATGCATTCCCGAACCAAATGCACTCAGTACTTGTTATATATATAGCCCACATATCTAATTTAATTATACTCGAAGAATCCATCTTACTTCAGTGTTTGGACATAAAGATCTTATGAAACAGCATGCAGAACACACTAGGGAATCTAATGTGTCCAGATCATAGTTTGTAAACCCCTTTTCTGTCTCAACTTTACTCAGTGTTTTATGTAGCTAGTCATTTTCCCTAAAACTCTTTTCTGTCTTTAGTTGCCTTTCTTATTTTCTAGAATTTCTCTGTGGCACCTCCTTCCCCTCTGACTTAGATGCAAACATTATCTAGTGTTTTCCTGTTTCCCACCCTTTCTCTTTCCTTCCCTTTCTCTCTAACTTTTCTCTTCATTTCTTTCCTTTCTTCTCTTTTAGCCACTCTCCTAACTCAAACTTAATACTCCCTATAGCACCCAATAAAATCTCTGCCGGAATGTGTTTCAAAGATTACCTTCTACCCTGGTCCTTGGCTTATGATTGAACCTTACGAATATTTAGGAGGAATGCTCATCATAAGACACATTGGGTTCCCCAGCAAACACTCTAAGGAAGCTCTGAACCATTGACCCAGGTGAGAAGCCAATCTTTCCCAGTCCTCTGGTCTTCCTCAGCACCCATCCTTTATTGACCTTTTCCAAGCCTCAAGAGCCTGGCCCACCCTGAGATCTTTCCCCCTTTCTGACACTCCTTATAATTTACTTTTTATACTTTCGTGAAAGTTATTATGCCTCAAAAATTTGCATGATCCACTATAAATGTCCAACTGCTTATGCCTACCAAACAGCATTTTCACATTATTCTATACAATAGCAAGGGTTCTGCACTCCCAAAAGGAAATTGCAACTAACTATATTCTGGAAATGCAAGGTTAAATTCAATAAAATGGGTTTTGTTTATTTTGTTTTTACAATACTTTAGAACTGTTAAAATGATAATTTGAACTGTGAATCTATAGTTTCCCTAATACACTCTGGCAGGGGATTATTCCCTAGAGGAACAGCTACAAAAAGCACAAGGAGTGTGTTCATGGTCATTCATCTGCAAAATTGCTTTGAGTTACTGACAGTGCAAGCAAAGTACCTGTGAGGCTGTCTCAGTCTACTTAGTTCACTGTTGGTTCTCTGCTCTAACACTGTTCTCCACAAACAAACTTCACACTACAATTGAAAGTTTTCTTGAGTGTGTCCTTCCTCTGTCCCTTTCCTGTTTAAACCCTACACATTCTCCAAAAGAGACAGCTTCTTCCCTTGATCTCAAAACTCTACAACTTCTTGACTATTTATTTTCTTCTTCATTAACTCCTATTTCTATTCCTACCCCCCTGGCAGTCCAAGATTTCACATTTCATCCATCCAATAATTCACGTTTCGAAAGCTCTTCCCTGCAGGCATTTGCTTATTAACATCAGTTTTGTATAAAGCATTGAGTTCTTACTTATTTCAGTAGAAATTTTCATTTCTCAAAAGGGCTCAAGGACACTGTGGCATTCTGGGTGTGAGCACATGGAGGGGCCAGGAGACAGTGATGTGCTTTGTGGACTCACCATTTCTTAATTATGAGATCCTGATATGAAATGCAAATCAAGATGAAGTCCCCAAATTTGGGGAGTCATTCTCAAGATACAGGAGTTTTACTTTGTGAGGACAAAAATGTTTTACTGAAGTAATAGAAAAATTAAACTATTTTTATACTGAAATATCTTTAAATAAGAATTTTAAAAACTTTGTCTTTGGGAATGTATGTTGTTGCTTTTTAAAAACTTCATTGGCACTTTTACAATAGTAACAGTTCAAACGTTTTCTGGAAAAGAAAATGTTTAAAAACTACTTATAGGAAGTGGAAAAACCTCTAAAATGATTAATATTCACAAATATTTATGGCAAATTAAGTATCTAACCTATACTACTGTGCTGGCTAATCTTGACTGACAACATGACCAGACTGAGAGGTGTACTTTTCAGGTTTTTTGTAAGGTTATTTTCAAATCAGGGGACTCACTCTGGCCTCGTCAGTCATTTAATTCATTGATATTTTCAAAAATTGAATGAACACCCGGGAGGTGGCACCAAAAAGCAGGTTGCTGGTAGCATGCCTTTGAAGAGGATGTCTCTTGACCCTGGTTCCTTCTTGCTACTCTTTTTATACTCTGGTTGCCAGAAAGTGACCATCTTTCCTCATGCTGTCCTTGATATTTTTACTTTGTCATGGGCTGAAAAGCAATGGGGCCAGCTGACCATGGACTGGAACCTGTAAAATCATGCGCCAAAAGAAACCACCCCTTTCCTGTTTCACTTGTGTATCTGTCACGGTGGTGGAAAGATCACACCACCAATAATGTGGACATTTACACACTGAAGAGAATGGTATTCATCAATGATTTCTCCCAGAGCATGTGACCTTCGGTCAGATTTCTCACTGTCTCCATTTCTAGGTGATGTGCTGTTCAACTGGGGACTGTAGGGTCTTATTTCTTTCTGTATAGGAATCATTCTCAAGGGTTACAGACTTAGAGAAACTGACCATACACACACACACACACACACACACACACACAGAGAGAGAGAGAGAGAGAGAGAGAGAGAGAGAGAGAGAGAGAGAGAGAGGGAGAGAGAGAGAGAGAGGCATGCATGCACGCACGCATGCACGCACATGCACACAGTTGCGCACACACACAGGGAGTCAGTGAAATCCTGCATGCAATTGCACACACTTTGGAAACTGTAGACACATACAATGTTTGTTACAGTGCTTCTGAAAGTATGCATGAAATATATCCTCATGAATGACATCTCTCTCTTTTTTTTTTTTTTTTTTTTCAGCTCAGAGGCAAACTCCTTCAGTGAGCTTCTTTTACTGAATCTGACTTACTAAGGTCTTGGTGTTCTTGCCAGATTTTAGGACACAGACATTTACATTGAGTTAGAGTATGTTGTTTTCTTGCTTAAAAGCAAATTGTAAATTATTTTTAGTCTGTGTTACATTTGATGCTAGGAACAGAATATCCCAGGGCTTGACTGGGATCAGAAATGGGTCGTGAGAATCAGGGTATGCCAAGGGTGATGGCGCATTTGCACATTCGTAGAAGGAGACATAAAGTAGCCTAGCAAAACTGCTTGCTTCTAATGTCATTTGCAGGTGTCATACATACCAGTTTTTAATGCAAATATCAAATCATCGAACTCCTGGGACTCCTCATCAGCTATCAGGGAGCCCTGGCCATATCCTCCAGAAGAAGGGAATGAGGCACCATTCTGGGGACTTGTCTTCAAATCAGGGCTTGCCTGGCTCGTCTGTTGGAAGGATGCTCTCTCCCAGTCAGATGGCACCTTTTGGGTTGGGGTAAGAGCAGAAGGATGTGACAATTGATACCATGAACGTACATGTTTACGTTGAAGCCCAATTTTGCAATGCATTTCTACATTTCATCAAAAACTGTGAATGGCCTATTAGATTGTTTTTCTTAGCTTGCATGTTATGTGTGTTCTTGAGAAAAGTAAGCCTCCCATCAAGTTAGTATAACCTGATTATTTAAAAGGTACTCAGTCACATGTAGACTGCTATGATGCCATGTATGTAGAGACAAAACTATCATCTATTTATTTATTTGTAAAATATGTGTTAAGGAAATTCAGAGCAGTCCAAATTCTTAATCTGAGATATATTTCAAATGCAGTCGGTATATAAAAAAACACCAAAATTAGAGGGAGTTTATCAAATCCCTTCTTGCTTTTGATGAAATGTTCAAAAGGAGTTCTGTGCTGAGATGTCTGCATGTATTCCTGGTTTCCTAGGTCACTGGCAAACCAGGTCAATGGTAAAGGAGCCCTTAATCCCTCCTTTCCTTGGCCTTCCCCGCTCTTGCTGGCTTTTTCGATGTCTCCTGCAGTCTCACTGACAGCTGGATCAAGGCCGATTTTGAGCCCCTGAGGAATGCAGACAGACTTTAAGCTATGCAGTTGTGCAACACCCCAGAGGAACACTCCAGCAATGGCTCCAGCCCAGGAACCCGAGGGTCACAGCTGTTGCCTTCCGAGGTAAGGTTTGCTGAGAGACTGCAGAGGCATGTCACATTAAGAAAAGTAAACCAAGAACTCCAAGATGAACTCAGTGAGGTGAAAGCTCAGGGTGACTGTCACCAGTGATCCGGACATCAGGAACAACACTGTCCTACAGAACAGTTTTCAATGACAGGAATATTTCATATCTAAGTTCTCCAACACTGCAGCTTCTCAGCACTTTTGTCCAAGGAACACTGACAGTGTGGCTGAGTGGATGACACACTACATCTATGATGCTAGCTGCTTTAATTCAGTCACACATGGCTAAAAGATATTTCAACAAGACAGGTTAAATGTTAAATGGTAACCAAATACTAAATTGGTAACCATTCAAAAAGACCAATGGATCTTATAAATATTCCTATCGGGTTTATATTTTTGTCACTTATTATCTGGCATAAAACTTTGTTGATTAACCAAGTGAGGCCTCACCCTCTCTGAGAAGTGGAGGGGGTGGGGTGGGGGAAGGTAGGGGGGAGCAGGAGAAGGGGAAGGAGTGGGAACTGGGGATGGTATGTAAAATAAATGAATTTTTTAAGTAAAATATTCAAATACAAGTTCATCTTGTCAATTTTAATAATGTTGTGTTAAAAATATATCTATGGGCTGAAGAGATATTTTGCTGTGCAAATTTGAGGACCTGGATTCATATCTCTAGAAGGTCCATAAAGCTCTATACTGGGCGAAGATTTATTTTTATGTTATGTATATGAGTGTTTTGCCTGCATATGTGTATTGCACCATGTGCATGTCTGATCTCTACAGAGGCCAAAAGAGAGTACTGGGTTCCAGGTGGGTGCTGGGAATCAAACCTGGGTCCTCCGTAAGAGCAGAAAGTGTTCTTAACTGCTGCGACATATCTCTAGCTCTAGCATGTCTCACTTTTTAAACATCCTTCTTAAACTTACTCATCTTACAGCCAAAATACATTCTTTTTAATCTATATATTTTTAATTTATTATTTTTCTCCTACCTACATGCCCTGCAAACACCTATCTACTGTACGTTTATCCATTATGAGTTGATAACTCTTTATAGTAATTTTTTTCTCATTCAAGCCAAAAGGCTATACACAGTAATGGCAATGTAATTATTTGCTTCAATTTTAAATTGACAGAAATGAGTGTACACCTTTTACCCTGCCAGCGAAGACAAAAGGTATCTATGGGCAAGTAGATTATCTATCATCTATCTATCTATATCTATATCTATATCTATCTATCTATCTATCTATCTATCTATCTATCTATCTGTCATCTGTCTGTTTTTGTCTATCACATCTCTATATAGCAACCATCTAAGTTATCATTATCTATTTATCTATATATCTATCATCCTATCAATATTTCCTCTTCCATAAAATGTTTCTTATTTCATGCATGTGTGTGTGTGTGTGTGTGTGTGTGTGTGTGTGTGTGTGTGTGTGTGTGTGTGTGTGTTTAGGTAGCAAACACAAATGCTGTTTTGCTTGCTTCCTTTCTTCAGAAGGCGTGGCAGCCAAGCACAGGCCAGGCCTGCATACTTGTGAGGGCTGTGCATCACTGTGTCTTCTGGGACAAATGGAGCCAGGTGTGCTTACAGTCTCAACAGTGGTCCTTCTAATATGTTGCCAAAATGCAGGGGTGGGGGGCATGTGATTCAGACTCAGGAAATCAAACTTACATGGACAGAATAATGCAGCCAGCAGTGGGAGGCAGATTTTGTAAAAGAAATCCTGCCTAGATTTTCCAGGACTTCCAAACACACCCCCTGAGCCTTTGCTTCAGAAAGTCTGATGGTATTTAAACTAGAAGGAGACCCTGCTTGTTTTCTTTTCCTTATTGGGATTGAAGAAGTGTGAGGGGATTGGCAAAAAAGGACAGCTGTGAGTGTGATTTTAGGAAGAATGGTATTTTAAAAAAGCATTTCTTAGACATATTCCGTTGCTGTCACATCAGATTAGAAGGTTTTGAAGGAAATGACACATTTTGCTTTGATTTCTCTATACAAATAGCTGATCCATGGTGCTCCCGGGAGAGAAAAGTAATCCCTCAAATGACATGCAGGTAGGAAAGGGTTTAGACATCAGTTAGTACCTTTTGTCTTATACTCTTTACCAAGCGAGGGCTGGTCAGCAGGTGAGAGAGGGAATCAGGGTGGGGTTAAGGGACACACCTCTTCCATAGAGTTGATGAGGTTCTGGGTAGACTTGTTCATCTCTCCTGCTGGAGGCATTCTGCTCCCAGGAGTGAAGAAGGCTGTGCTGGGTCCTGGGTGACCATTCATTTCCACCGTATAGCTGGCTTTCATAGGGCAACACGTTTGGTTGTGTAAAATGAAATAAACCACAAAAACATAAAGTCCCTATAAAAAAGAAAACCACATTATTATGTCAAAGGTGGTCAGGCCAGCACAGCCGAAGCCTAAAAACTGCAGTAAGTCTAGCTGATCGTCTTCAGGAGGCTCCAGTCTAACCCAAACCTAGGAGCGACTGAATATGCTAGCAGTCCAGCAAGAGGTCACCGCAAATTCCAAGTCATCAATGTCACTTAGGAAGACTGGGCTCTCAACAATCATTTTTTTTTCTCAACATATTAAGTAACTGAATGTAGCCTACTAACATATGAAACAAATTATAAATAAATTATAGAAATTTATTACTGAGCTATGTTCATCTTGTTTTAGAAGGCAAGCATTTTGTTCCTTAAGAAAGCAACCATTTTTATTCATCTCTCACTTAATGCTATTTAGCTAATTGAGGTATTCCATTCACTTCGAGGGTGTCTGGAAAGAGCTGAATAACTGCCAGTTGACACTCTGTGCATCTCACCTACTTATCTTACTTGGAACTGAATCACTGCATAGGGACTGTGTGGATTGCTTAAGCTTTAGCATTCCATGTCTCTCCATAAATGTTGCACAAGAGCAGTAAAGCTATCTTGTGCATTCTTCAAAAGCCGTTAGCCCTTCAAATTCCTCGGCAACATACTCAAACACTTGATAATTACTCTGCTTCCGTCACAAGAAGGCTCTCTGTTTTTGTTTTGTATTCTGTTCATTACACTCTTTTTCGTCATGATTTCCACACATGCTCTACTATATGACTGCTCTCCAAAACCTGATGACTCTAACATTTTCATTTAGACAATAAAATACCTTAAATTGTGTCTTTTGTGTTTCCTGGTATTTAAAATTTTAATGCAAATAAGAATCTCTCTTAGTAAAATACTTGATAAAGATAAAAATAAAGATACTCAGCTAATTAAAGAAGAAATGGAATAACAAGAAATGTAAACAAAAAAAGAAATGTAAACAAGTGTCAGTGGTTTGTAACCTTTGTACTCTCCAGGCTTCTAACATTTCTAGAGTACTGAAGCAATAGAAATTGTACAAACCCAGAACATCTACCTACCAGTATAAATAGCAAACTGATTCTTAGGAAACACCATGGCCCAGCAGTCACAAGTAATTTTTTATGTAAGTGAACTGAGAGGACAGGGTGCAATGCTTCACGGGCCAGCATTTGATCTCTGGTTGTCTTCGGAGAACTATGAGAGTCAAGCCTGTCCTTCTACTGGGGCGACACCTTCTCAGCTGCTCTCCATAACTAAGAGCATGTTTTAAAAGCAGTGTTGTGCACAGTAAACATGTTTTTAAACAAATTGCTGTAATCATCCACTAAGACCAAGCAGAAACATACATCTCCCTTTGAATTTGGTTTGTCAGTTCTTTCAGAGAGACATTAGTATTCCAAATTACGTAGACTCAGTGAAGTAGTTTCAAGTGCACATTCATAGAAACATCTTCCTGAAAACACTCGTGCTCATCCAACATTTTCCTCACACAACTAACTCTTCACATGAGGATGACCTAATTGCATTGGCCACAGCAATGGACAAAACAGGAAAAAAAATTTAAAGTGTCAGCCTTAAAAATTGTGCAAATGTTACTGATTTATTTCAGGGTCACTGTAAGTGTTGAGGAGTGACAGGCCAAAAGCTGGATAAGAAAACAAAACCCATGTTTTCAAAACCCATCTCTAAGGACCCATCTGTTAAGGCTGAACAGCCTTTCTCCTGTTTGTTTTCATATCCAGCCTTTCGTGCGCCAGGAATCACTCTGCCTGCTGAACATGACTGCCTTCAAAAGCTGCATTCTTTTTCTTAAAAGCATGGAAGTATACAGTAAATATTTTGAGACTTTTAGACGTGCCCTAGGAAACACAAACATGGTTAAAATAAAAAGGAAAGGATGTTTAAATGCAGATTATGTTTAAATGACTCTTGCTCGGTCTGGGCCAAGCTGTGCAAATATAGAAAAGGGGCCTTCATTTATCCAAAGTACTCAGCTGTGGAAGTTTCTGACCTCAGAGTAAAAACAAGTTCCCCTTCCAAACACTGTATGTTGAACCCAGGCTCCCTGCTACAGTGCTATGTGAAGCAATTTCAATAGTGCACCTAGATTCTCAGTTTGTAGAATGTTGCACGCTCACAGTGTATACTACCACGCACTGACATGCAAGGGATAAGACATGCGTGGTTTCTGCTCTCAAACTGCTCACAAATAAAACAACGTTCCACCCCCACCATGTATCAAGTTCATATGCACCAGCTTGCATGTGTCTGTACTTCCTGCCATTTGCGGATGGCAAGTTTACATGAAAGCCAGTTCTGTCTATGAATTGCTGTTTTATTTTGATGGTCCTCCTATAAGCATGAAAATGCTTTTAAAAATCTTTAATCTGTCTTTAGCTTCATTGAGTATAACATTAAGCTCCATTCTGCATTCCTTTTGATCTAGGAAATTTAAACATACAAGCTAATATTCAGTGAGCTACAAATGAAATCATATAGTCTAAAGGATTATACATTCTCATAGCCCTAGTTTTAAGGATTTATTTATTATTTGTATATGTTTATGTGAATTTATTTGCATCCCATGCATGTGGGAAACCACAGAGCTGAAAAGAGGGTGTTTGATCCCTTGGAACTGGAGTCAAAGGGGTTTGCAAGTTGCCATGTGGGTGGCAGTTCTCCACTCAGGTCTTCTGCAAGAGCAGGGGGTGTGCTTAACCACAGAAGAGTAAGACAAGCGAAGGGAAGGGATTTCAGTTGTCCTCTCCACCACTGCTGTCAGTCCCTTGCTTCCAGCCACAAGTTTAAGAAGAAGTAGTTGGAAAGAACTGGCTAGAACAGGCAGGTGGGAGGTGGTTTGGCTCTGCTGGATACTGTCTTCAGAGGTTTTTCTCCAACTTCGTCAAGGCTTAAAAGCTCATGGCTGAGGGAGACTACCTCAGGCTTTTACATGAAGTTCTGCCACACCCCCTTCCTTCAGCGAAGGGGCTGGACAAGGTAGCACCACCAGAATTAGGCTTTCTTAAATTCATACACATGGAACATTAAGGAAATCTATTCTACTGCAAGTTCTTAAAAGTAATAGAAAAGGCCGGTCTCTCTGTTGTGTTGTATTGTGTTTGTTTGTTTGTTTGTTTACAGTGGTGGTTCCCAGCCTTCCTAATGTTGTGACACTTCAATACAGTTCTTCAGTTGTGGTGACTCCCAGCCATAAAATTATTTCTTTGCTACTTCCTACGTGTAATTTTTCTGTTATGAATTATAATGTAAATATCTTATATGCAGGATATTTGATATGTGACACCTATAAAAGGGTTGTTCAACCCCCCCCCCAAGGGATCATGACTCACAGGTTGAGAACCAATGGTCTCTGACTTAAAGGAGGAACTTAATATATAACTGATAAATCAGAGACCATGCCTTTGAACTGTCAACAGCAGGGGAGAGGAGGAAGGGGTGAGGACAGTGGTGGGCCTCAGGTGTGTGCTAGGTGCAGCCCTCTGATTCTTTTGTAACTATAGCTGGGACATTCAGTAGTGGTTTGCTCAAATTCTTCTGCAGTTCAGTCTTTCCATTCCACATGCCCTGTGCAGAGGCCACAGTTCTGGGAGAAGAGCACACAGTCAGGGCAGGTGGTGGTCTTGTGCTCCTCAGGTGGCTGTCTTTTGGGAGTTGGCTGCTGTGTGTCCCAGGTCCTTCTGCTGTGACTAGGTTTGCGGTTCCCTAGTCCTTCCTGTGGTTACTTTTCCTTAAAGGCCTCTACAGCCCCTCTTGCCTGGCAACCACAGACAGCCACTATGCTCTTTTCTGTTTGCCCTAGGACTGCCTTAGGGCTCTGACATGCTGCATTCTGACCCACCAGTGATGTGGCAGCAAAGAAGATAGACTCTGGGCCAATAACAAAGCTGAAGAGACAAATGCAGGGTTTCCACAGTTACATATATTACTTTATAGCAATGAGAGAAGTAGGAATCTCATCTTTAACTTCTTCATTTTGAAGCTCTTACACTTTACATTGAAAATTGATTTTGTTAGTGTTTATACTTATAATAAGAGCTGCAGTGTAATCTGTACATCAAACAGAGAGAAAGGGAACAGGTAAGTTCTTTCTGAGGACTGTTGACTAGTCAATGTAACTGACACTTAGACATATAGGGGGCGATTATTACTCCAACACTTCTCACAACACTACCCACTGTGCACTGAGGGTTCCATCAGCTTCTGCCCCAATGACTTCTAGTGTCAGGGACTTTCAGTTCAGAACGAGTACAGTGAAGAAGTCAGCTGGCTTCAGGCATGCCTATGGCTCTGCTTAGCTGCAGGCCTTCACCTTCCAGGTCTCGACAAGTGTCTGTCCTAAACTAAACAGTTACTAGGAACAAAAGCCTGAAAAGTTTTTTATCCTAAGTATGTAGGAGTCAGATAACATGTTCTTCCTTTTGTCCTGGCAAAATTTCTGTCTGTTATTTCAGGGTACATTCCTCTGCATGTCATGGATGGAGAACCATTTGGTCAGCGTTCTCACTGTGATAAATATTCTTGAGTCAAAACATTGATTATTAGGCCATGGTTCAGTAACCACTTCTCCAGTAGAGTAACCTGCAGTCTAGTCTTTCCTCTTGAGTCCTAGTTTACAGTGCTTTGTGACTGAGTCCCTCCCACAGTCAATGTATTGTTGTCAGCTTTCAAAGCTCAGAGCAGAAACCGATCATGAAGCTACCTACCAGGAGTCAGGCAAGACAGATAAATTATAGATTAAGTTTTGTCAAAGTCACAAGAACACATACTGCTGATGCCACAAACCCCAGGAGCACTAGGTTGGAATAGTTTCCAAAATAAAAATCAAGCTGGGTGGTAGGATCGAGGAGCAGATAACAGAAGAGGTGGACAAACAGTGCTGAGATACAACTCACAGACATAGGAAAATGCTGGAATCTGAGAACAAAATGAAAAGCTTTAATTGTAAAAAAGGAGAAAAGAACTGAAAAGAGCTGTAAATGAGGGGAATAT